GACCCGCCTCTTCAGCCTCTCCTCCCCCTGCAGGTGGGAAGCACCGTGTTCTTCAGATGCAGGAAAGGGTACCATGTCCAGGGCTCCACCACCCGCACGTGCCTGGCCAACCTCACGTGGAGTGGGATCCAGACGGAGTGCATACGTAAGCGTGCCCTGACCTGTGCCGCCCGCAGCCGTACACAGAGCCTGCCCAGCGCTGGTCTGCGTGTCTCTTCACATGTCACTGAGAGTGAAACTGGCTGGCTCACGTTGAAACATCAAAGGGCCAAAAGCTGCCTAAAAACATGACCTGCAGCATTAACACAACTATATTCACAGCTCAAAAGTTATCACTAGGGTAATCGGTCAAGGCTTTTATTTGAGACATTCATAAACCATGAAGGTGAGATACAGAATAAATATTATTACTCCTTATATTTTTAAAGAAATAAGGATCAATAGTTCCTTAAGTTTCTAAATATACATCCGATTCTTAGCACTGGCTTAATGAACATGAATTTACTAGTTGCTGACACAATCAACTCTGCTCCTCTGAGCTCGTGGAGGGCCACCTGTGTTACTTTCTAAGACTGTTATTGAAGGACAGGTGATATACCATTTCCCTTAACTGTGTAGCAGAAGTGTTCTGTTTCTTTCAGAGCTGGAATCTCTTCTCTAAGTCCCTTCATACCATGACATGCATATGTGACATGAAGAAGTGACTAGATTCATAACCATCCCGATGTGTGCTCTGTGTTTTGGGCACAGTTGCTGACGTTATCCTGAGCAGAGGTGAGCACTTGCTAATGCAGTAAATGTTCCTGCAGCTCATGCCTGCCGGCAGCCGGAGACCCCAGCGCACGCGGACGTGAGGGCAATCGATCTCCCGGCCTTTGGTTACACGCTCGTGTACACCTGCCACCCGGGGTTCTTTCTTGCGGGAGGTTCGGAACACAGGACCTGCAAAGCTGACATGAAGTGGACAGGGAAGTCTCCGGTTTGTAAAAGTAAGTCGCTGGTGGAGATGTGAACGTGCTTACTAAAAGGAACGAAAGCATTGCGTGTGGCCGGGCTGGTGTGTCTGACATGTGCCTGGATGACCCCTGAGTGACCCCTGAGTGACCGGAGATGGGGTGGGACCGTGGCCTGGCCGACCCTGCCACTGTCAGCCGGGCTGTGTACGGTGTGTGCATCCTTTCCCCTGTGGCCAGTCAGTAGACTTTGTTTGCTATAGCCACATTTGCAATCAAAGAGAAAAGCTATTGGGCTGAAGAAAAGCATTCTGAATTTTACAATAATAGTATCTAGTATCTCATCAGAAGATGTAGTCTTCATAAATGAGATCGGGTAAATGAATATTTGCCAAGTGTCTGAGCACATACAAATTAAGCCATTGTTTTTATTTTTAAGACCACAGGTTGTTTGCTGACAGCATCAGTTTCTATATCCTTGACATTGTTTTTTTAATTACAAAATCCATTAGCATGAAAATGACACTTTAATTACCTGCCGATTTGTGTGTTTACCGTGAGAGAATTAAGTGGGAGGGGGGCGAACGGCAGGTGCCCTCTCTGGTTCTCGGCCAGCTTGGATCCTCTACGTGTGTGGAATGGCAGACCAGCAGAGTCCTGACTTCCCTGAGCAGTCTACCCACCATTCTCACCTTGGGGATATTTAACCTGCATCCCCCTTGCCCATCCTGCCAGGAGTCCAGGGGATGGACGCTAAGAAGCAAAACTCTTAAGAGCTAAGGGATTATAAATTAAATCTAACTTGATGATTGAATTAAACCGCAGGCAGGGGAAATAACGGTGTGTCCCTCATTATTAAGTCATGAGGTCGTCGGTCTCAGCGGGTGATTGGAGGATGAGGTGTGAATCCCAGCTCACTTCAGACGTGTCCCGGTGCAGGCAGAATGGCCCTCCCGGACCAGAGCTGCCTCCCACCCACCACCCTCATTTGCAAGGCTCTCTGTTGTAGACCTCCCACAGAATATCCACTCCGACCCTGAGCTCAGCTCTTACAAACTCAACTCAGATCCCACAGCCGAGACATGGGTATAAAATGCATCTGTATATACTATGTTGTACATTTTTAAAAAAATTCTGGAGAAAGGAAAATTGCTTCATCTTGACATATTTTTCAACCTTCTTCAAAAATTAATGTTTTTGAAAATGATAATTTGTCTTTTTACTTGTAGGTAAAGGAGTGAGAGACGTTAATGAAACAGTTACTAAAACGCCAGGTTTGTATGCCAGAGGAGTTATAGCTTTCGGTCAAATAAAGTCCTTTGTTTTCTACTGTACTCTGCACAGTGAAACACCTTTTGCATTCAGATACCCGAACCCATTGGTCCACGACAAAGTTAAGATTCTCCCTGTGTCAGGGACCACACACCTCCACAGCTTGGCCCAGTGTTTGACCAGCGGGCTGGCGTGTGGTGATGGGAAGCCCTGTCCCAGGGCCTCGGGCACTGTGTGGAGGAACAGGCCCGGTCCTTCCCGTGGGCAGCACGACAGAGAGCCTTATAAATAGGGTTGCAGTTCGTCCCCTAGCCGCAGACCCGAACAGACACGCGCACGGGGCAGAGAGCCTCAAACGCACACGCACACCCTCTCTGCAATCTCCACCATCCGGGCATCCTCTCTCTGTCTTACATTGATTAAAGCTTGTCCTCATTGAAGCCTTGCTGAAACACATCACAGGCCGAATCCATGCACCCATTTCCCAGGAAGGATTTCATTATTAGAAATCGCCTGGCACAGGGGATCTGTGTGATACTCTCAGATTATCTAAATCATAAAATATGTCCCCAAACTATTTTAATTTAAAATTTTATGCCAAGGTTTTTTTTTAAAAAAAAACAGACCTTGTATTTAAAAATTTTAAATTATATAGGCTTTTTGTTTTAGTTTCTTTACTCCAGTTTTAGCTCTAGTTTCTTGGGCATAAAGCTTGATTTTAGAATCAACATATTTGTAGTGCTGTTAATTCAGAATGCTATGGTACATGTGCAGTTCCTGGGTGAGGCAAATTGAACCAGCATGGCTAAAGGAATCTCTGCAGTCTGAGTTATAAACTCTGAAGATTTTTTTTATCTTTGGGGGCTATATGCATTATTTACATGTAAAAGGACAAACGAATACTTACCCCGTCAACAGCTTCTTTCGGGGAAAGAACCATATACTTTTGTTTTGTTATTATGTTTTTTTTCTGTTGGCTTCTGTTGGCTGACTTTGTGCATCAGATATTGAAAAATCTAGAAGTGCATTTTTGTAGATGCAAATGTTATCATCAGCATGTCTTTCCCCTTCTTCCTGAATAGAAGTGCCATTAACTATGGTCATAACGGTGGTATGTTCGATCCCAGATCGTTGCTGCCGTACATTTGCACACTAAGAACAATACACAGGTCAGATGGCCAAGACCCATGAGATGTCCTCTGCCCGTGTCACTGGTGGCCATGTTTAGATGTGGAAGCCACTTGTTCTTAGCCCCCCCCCTCTGGCACGTCCAAGGATAGGACCAAGGTACCCCTAGGAAATGATGTAACCATGCACACTAACATCTCCAGCTCTACCTGGAAAAGAGTTGTCTGGAAGTGTTCAATGTTAGAGAGTTAATGTAATCATTTTAGAATCTCCAGTTAAAAACAAGGACCTATGCAATGCTATTTATGGATGAATGAATGTGTTTGATGTCTGTTATCTATTAGCGAGTATTTTAGACCTTACCTGGCTTCACTTATCAAGTTGTTACTTGGGTCAGCAGCTGGCTCCTCAAAGCCCCAGGAAGCTGTCACTGCTACCGTTCCTGCACCCGCTTTGCAGGCTTTGTGGCAGGCGTGGCCTGTCCAGGCAAGGTGGTCAGCTGGCCCCAAGCAGAAGCATGGACACGGGAGATACCTCATCCCTGTCACATGATCATTTCTCATTGTAATTGGACTTGCTAAAAAAACATACTCAGGGAAAAATGAATCTCCAGAAGCTCAACATGTGTTCTAATCAGTTTTACTTACAGTGGATTTTTGTCCAATTAAATAATTGAGGCACATGGTCAGGCAGAAAGGAAGAAGATCCTAGAGGCACTGGGGGAGCGATACACCGTCATTCTATATGCATGCTTACGTTAATAGTGTTAGATTTGAGGAGTTACACATGTATGTTAGCAGAGACACAAAAATCTCACTAACAGTGAACACAAGAAGATATGTTGATGTATTTACATGTACTCCTGATTGATTTTATGGGCCACAAAGACACCATGTCTTCCACTTCTGGAGACATGTAGGAAAGTGGGATATATCACACAAGGAGAGTGAAGTGGGAGAGAAGAAAATGGTGATGGGGAGGGTGATATTCTGCACTTGTACAATGCACCCCACAGGGTAGGAGCGCTTTGTCTCCAGCTGGGTCTCCAGCCCTGGGCTTGGGGATGTGAGCGTGACGGGTCTGGATGGGATTCCTGACAAAAGACACTGCGAATTCTGAGCCCAAGGCCCTCGGGGTAGACAGGCCTGCCATGTGCTCCCAGGACAGCTGACCACAGGAAAAGCTCAGGCTGATGTTGGCAGAGCAGTCTCCGTACACCATGGTTCTCTTAAAGGAAGGGGTTCTGCTCCTACAGACATGCCTGAGGTGCTAGAATGTTCCCAGCAGAGCCAGAAAAGGCTACATGCTCATCACACTTGACTGGTGCACCTGCTGCTTTTGACTCTTGCCGGAGAGGACAGGGTCCCAGGCTATCCTACTCTTCACTGTTGGGGTTAATTGAAGTCTCTCGCTGCACAGTTTTGTGCCTTCGGTGTTTGAAAATATCTGGATCCAATCCCTGGCATGGTGTGCTAACGTTTGTCTGTTTCCCTCTCCCAGTTCCTTCAGATGTGTTTTTCGTCAGTTCAGTGTGGAAAGGATATTACGAATACACAGGCAGAAGGCAGCCGGCCACCCTGACTGTTGACTGGTTCAACGCAACCAGCAGCAAGGTCAACGCGACCCTCACAGCAGCCCCGCAGGTGCAGCTGGAGCTGACAGGTAGATAGTCTCATCACGGAGCTCACAGAGACACTGCTGGCCATGTGTGCCCGGAGCCCCAGAGCCCTCCCTGACCTCCACAGCTCCGTAGTGTTTGCTCATTCTTGAGGCCACTGCATTGATACAAGAAAGGTGATGGACATCCTCATGTGTACACACAGTACACCTTGACTCTGACACTTCTGTTCACAGATGCCTGCCTGTCCATTTCATTTTCTTGATATCTTGGTTCTTACCATGTGTATGTTAGGTTTGCTCCTGTGAGCTGAGTGCACAGGAATTGGTGCTGCCCTGTCTGGGGCTCTCCACTCCTTCTAGTTTTATCTATTCATTATCTCATCTTTGAAATGAACTGGCGGTGAGGTCACTCAGAGGCACCCTAACCTTCGCCTGTGGCCAGCACCTCTCCTCGGCCACGCCCACCGGGCCACGCCCACCCAGGGTCATCTCTCTAAGTAGCCCAGGTCCAGTGAGGGCTGCGGTTCCTGTTACTTTCCTTCTTCGTTTGGGGTAAAAGTGTTCAATTTAATGAAGAGCACTTAACTCCCCTGAGAGGAGTCTATACAAAAACTCTATTAAGAAGCTATTTTCAGTGAGGAAAAAAATGCCGATGCTGTAATTTATCAGTAAAATGAAACTTACAGTTGAGTTTTCTGGTGCCCATGTTGTCTGTTCTGTGGACAACATATTGACCCCTCCCAGGGCTGGCTGACCCCTCCCAGGGCTGGCTGACCCCTCACAGGGCTGGCTGACCTCTCCCAGTGCTGGCTGACCTTTCACAGGGCTGGCTGACCCCTCCCAGGGCTGGCTGACCCCTCCCAGGGCTGGCTGACCCCTCCCAGGGCTGGCTGACCCCTCCCAGGGCTGGCTAACCCCTCACAGGGCTGGCTGACCTCTCCCAGGGCTGGCTGACCTTCCACAGGGCTGGCTGACCCCTCCCAGGGCTGGCTGACCTCTCCCAGGGCTGGCTGACCCCTCACAGGGCTGGCTGACCCCTCCCAGGGCTGGCTGACCCCCCCAGGGCTGGCTGACCCCTCCCAGGGCTGGCTGACCCCTCACAGGGCTGGCTGACCTCTCCCAGGGCTGGCTGACCTTTCACAGGGCTGGCTGACCTCTCCCAGGGCTGGCTGACCCCTCACAGGGCTGGCTGACCCCTCACAGGGCTGGCTGACCTCTCGCACTATCCCCCCCACTATCCTTCCTCCCCACTTCCCCCTTGTCCCGCAGGTCTGACAGCCTGGGTCTCTCCACAGGGGTCTACAAGAAGGAGGAAGCTCACCTCCTGCTGAAAGCTGCTCACATCAAAGGCCCAGCAGACATTTTTGTGAGCAAGTTTGAAAACGACAACTGGGGCCTGGACGGTTATGTGAGTACCTCCCTCCCCTTCCTCCCCTCCCCCTCCCCCTCCCCCTTTCCTCCCCCCTCCCTTCCCCTTTCTCCCCCTCCTCCCCTCCCCCACCCCCCCCCCCTCCCCCCAGCTGAGAGCAGCCTCCCTCCCCACATGGGATTTCACACTTCATCGTCTTGGCCTCCCTCCCCGCACGGGATTTCATGCTTTGTGGTCTGTGTGGGAAGAGCTAAGGACACGGGGCAGAGGCCGTGGCTGTGTCTGGGAGTCCTGAGCTCCGGCAAGGAGCCGCAGCCACCCATCCCTTCCTGTCATGACACCACCACCACATCATTTGAAATGGAAAAAACCAAAAATCAAAAACGGTCCAGAGCTGCGAGGCGGCTACGCTAGGAGGCCAAGGAGACAGGGAAGCCCGCCTCCCCTCCAGCTGGCTGAGGGCCGCCCGGTCTTCCGTGGCCGGTGGCCATCTCCCGTGCGTTCGGAGAGGTGCTCACGGCATCATCCCAGCCGGCTCACGGAGGCCTCGAGGGAGCTCTGCTCCCCGGGGACCAGCAGCCCACAGTGGTGACACAAATGGCCCGTTGTGTGTGTTGTCCCCGCGTGGGACAGCGTGTGGACGGCCGCGCCAGGGGGCAAAGCGGATGGCTTCCATGCATTTCCTGAGCTTCCCTGTGGAGTGACCACAAATGTCCCCCAGAAGAGGGTTTTCCAGCTGCATGTGGCGGCCGGGTGTTAGACGTGAGGTGGGCTGTGGAGGCCCGCAGAGGAGCCCCGCGCGGCCCTCACCTCCCTCCTCCCTGCCTCCAGGTGGCCTCGGGGCTGGAGAGAGGCGGCTTCACCTTCCAGGGTGACGTGCATGGAAAAGACTTTGGGAAGTTCAAGCTAGAGAGACAAGGTAAGCAGAGCTCACCACACAGCTTCCTGCCAAGCAGAAGCAGAAAGGACATGACTTCTAACAACACAACCAAAAGGGATTACTGTGTGCTACAGTACCTAAAAGCGGGTTCTTTTGACAAGTAGAAATGTGTAAATAAGGAAAGAAATATGCCAGAGTTAGTAATAAATCATTGTATCAAAATACTTACCTTATAAATATATAGAGATATATATCATATGTCTGTATCTATGTAGATAGCTATAGAATCTATATCCTTATATCTTTATATATTATACCCTTATTAGCCAAAGAATGAAACGGACTCTTGCAATACACGTAATATAATACCTAAGGAAACTAAAAGTGAAAAATAATTTTTAAAAAGTAAGAATAATTAAAAATGGCCAACAAACTTCTAAGGTCTCTAAATATGTATATATATATATGTGTGTGTGTGTATATATACATACATATATCTGTATATATCTGTGTATATATGTGTGCATATATATGTACACATGGGTGTATATGTATATATATATATATATAGGTGTGTGTCTATAGACATGTAGACACACACAAATATGCCACAGGCTGTCTGGATTTTAGCTATTCGAATGGCACACTTTAGGGAAGGCAGTTTGGGCTGGTTGATCAGACATATTATGTGTGAGTTTGGAGATATGTGAGCAGATGTCCTTTCATTCAACAACTACAACATTTTTGGTTAGGCAAGTATAAAAATATGTTCTTTCCCTATAGAGGCATGTTTCAATCAAGACTATATTGATTAGAACACCTAGTAAATATGGAACTTAGTAATGAAACCCTACTCTGTATAAATAATGAACATTTAAAAAACTAACTATTCTTACAAAGCAGAAATTACCCCTCTGTGGTGAGACATTTGAGCTCTGTGCACAAGGCCTTGGGTTTGGCTGCAAAAACCACAAAAATAAAATGCAACCCGCTTTTAAGAACAGAAATAACTTGCACAAATTATATGTCTATCATAAAATAATCGCTTCTGTGAATAATGTCATCGGGCGAATTTCGTCGGACATTAACCTAGAAGCCACTGTTCAGCACATGCATTGGAGGAGCGAGGCATGTGTATTGGTGCCCGTGAGAACAGTGCTGGCCCTCGGACCCTCCTCCTTCCTCCTCATCTGCCTCCACCCTCTGACTTGACCTCTGAGTCAGAGCGAGAAGGTGGACCCACATCCCTCGGCTTGTCTCTTGCCTGCTGGCCGCTTTTACGATGAAGAATGAGGTGCAATATTCTTTTTGTAAAGTGTGATGTGAGGTGTTTTACCGCCGAGTCTGTATTTTCAACAAGATAGACAAGTTACCTCATGTGGCTGTCGGACTTGCAGAGTCCTTGAGCTGCCGCAGGAAGCTCATTGTGGAAGCTAAAGATCAAAGGGACCGCACCAACGCAGAGGAGAAGGTGCTGGTGTGGAGGAGATCAGCCCTGTCACTACCAATGGCTCCGTGCTGCTTGCAGACTGCTGTGTAAGCACTGACACTTTGGAGAGCAGCCGCGCCACGCAGCACGGGCGCCAGAGCCACCTTGGTGAGGACGGCTTTGGACAGGGTGCTGCCCCTGGGCCAGGGCTCAGTCCACACGACTGAGGTGTCCCGGGGTCTCGGTGCAGGGGAGGCCCCACAGCCTGTACGTCAGCGCCAGTGAGCCGTCGGTGGGCCTAAACCAGCATGCACACGACTCATAACGGCGTCCACCATTGCACAGTCGGTACCCCTGGGTAGAAGAGCGTCAAGGACCATGTCAGCAGTCGCTACTACTTCAAATTGGTGATGAGGAACAATAAATGCTGCCCACCAACCCTAATGATGGGTGATGTCTTCCTCCCGGTCTCAGCCAAACCCTTCCCTGGGCTTCCTCCCCAGCCCCCGTCCTGCTCGTATTTCAGAACACTGCAGTGAGCCAGACTGTGGCTGTCCACAGTCACTCACCCCACGAGCAGCCTGTGGCTGTCCACGGTCACTCACCCCACGAGCAGCCTGTGGATGTCCACGGTCACTCACCCCACGAGCAGCCTGTGGATGTCCACGGTCACTCACCCCACCAACAGACCCGGTTTATTGCTTTGCTATCTCACATTTTCTTTATATAACCTCATTCCTTTTTTCATCTAACAAAATAACAGCTCGAATTCACAAGAAATCCGTATGCGCATGTAATGATGAGCTTTTTGTCAGGAACAAACCAATTTGAATCCCAAGAAAATTTTCTGTTCACCTAATTAGAAAAGGCTACACTTAAGTAATGCCTCAGCGACAATCATTCATTGAAGAGTGATGGCGGAAGCCCATGTTTATGGGTAAAAGTAAACCTAATTGTCTCAGTCAGAAGACAACAACAAAAGGAGTGATTATCATTAAGTAAGTGCTGAAACCAAGTTAATTTGAAAGACAACTTTAATGTAAAATCTTGTATAAGAAACTCAAATTGGTTTCCCCATTAAAATGGAATGACTTTATCCACACATGGAGTGAAAGAATATCTGCGGGAAAAAAAACAACATGAAACTGATCAGTGGTTTTATCGAGAGCATCTAAAAGACTCAGAGGTGGACTAAAGGACTTGATGATTTTATCTCTCTGATGATACAGTGACTCACCTGGCTCATCCCCTGTGAAAATATGCTTACGTTCCTTCATCAGTAAAGAAATCTGCATTTAAAACAAACCCTCAGATTGAATCAGCACAGAAGTGGTAGTAATTCCAGGAGGGATTGCAACAGAGAGGAGAGAGTGGGCAGGAAGGGAAGGCCAGGGCAGGCAGGCAGCACTGGTAGCTCACACGCTGACATCCCATAAACCACAGCACAAAACTGGAGAATGTCTTTGGACGGAATCTAGGTAAGACACCGTGACACTAAACAGCACAGATTGTATTAGGCCATGCTTCTACCTAGAATGTTGCATGAATAAACGCAGAGATACATCTCATTCAACTGTAGAGAAAAAACTGGAAGAGTTAGAAGTAGTAGTAACTAGCAAAAGTATTTTTGGTATATAGAACCAACAAACTTCTTCCTATACACCTTATAAATGGAATGTTGTATATGTGCCCAAAGAAAAAACTCGAAAATAGGTGAGTGAGAAGCCCCCATGAAAGTGTACATTATAGGAAAGAAAAGGGAAACACAGACAATATTCATGCAGTATTGAAAGGAGGCTTTAGATCAGCACACAGGGCACAGAATGAGTCTTCATTTTTATTTCCCTCACATGAATTATTTTCGTGACCTTTTCTGCCATTTCACTTAATACTCCATGGCTGTGTTGTCCTGCAAATCATTAAAACTAAGAAAGTGGCTGGAACTAGGTAGGAGCCTTATAGTAGCTCAGCCATCTGAGGCTGGGTGACGGTACTGTCCACAGAGCAGTATCTCTGTTGTCCTGTGTTACAAAGTGCGGTCTCTTGGGCATGGAGATTTTCCAGAATTTTGAGACTGGCAGTTTTATATTTATTATGGACAAACTATATAAAGTTTGGTCCTACTGGGAAACCACGTGCAGATACCCTGGGAATCAGACATGGGCACTAAGTAGAACCCACGAGAGTCCAAAAATGAAACTTGAGTCTTGAGTCCAAAATGCCTCCACACATCTGAAAATAGCTTAAGCAGGGGCTGGATTCTAGAAGCTCCATGGAGACTTGGGTCTGACTGACCACATGCCAGTCATCGCTCCAAGTGTGTGAGTTGCACAGGTCACCTGATTCTTACACAGAGCGACGCAGAGGGGGGCCATTGTCCAGTGAAGCATTGGTCTTCTTGTTGGAGAAGCCACCTCTGGCTCAGTGGCTCCTGTCTGCCACATCCTGGACTCAGGCACGATGGCTGGAGCTGGACGTCACGATGGCTGGGCTGGATGTCACAAGGCTGGGCTGGACGTCACAAGGCTGGGCTGGACATCACAAGGCTGGGCTGGACGTCATGATGCCTGGGCTGGACGTCACGATGGCTGGGGCTGGATGTCACGATGGCTGGGCTGGACATCATGAGGCTGGGCTGGACGTCACGATGGCTGGGCTGGACATCATGAGGCTGGGCTGGACGTCACGATGGCTGGGCTGGACATCACAAGGCTGGGCTGGACATCATGAGACTGGGGCTGGATGTCACAAGGCTGGGCTGGATGTCACGATGGCTGGGCTGGACGTCACAAGGCTGGGCTGGACGTCACGATGGCTGGGGCTGGATGTCACGATGGCTGGGCTGGACATCATGAGGCTGGGCTGGATGTCATGATGGCTGGGCTGGACATCACAAGGCTGGGCTGGACATCATGAGACTGGGGCTGGATGTCACAAGACTGGGCTGGACATCACGATGGCTGGGCTGGACGTCACAAGGCTGGGCTGGACGTCATGATGGCTGGGCTGGACGTCACAAGGCTGGGCTGGACGTGCTCCCTCACCTCCACACTGCTCCAGTCACCCCCATGCATGACATGGATGGCGTCCCGGGACTTGTCTGTGAAAGCTGAAATGTTCACCAGCAATGGAAGGATTCTCAGCCTCTGATCGCTCTTGTGCATGTTCGGCTTACAAGAATAAACAAGACTTTGCTTTCGATTTGGAATTCCACCAGTTCTGGAGACGAGCTGGCCAACGAGCACGCCACACCTGACTGATTACACACCTGCGCACTTCGTGACCCCTGGCATTTGGCCAAATGAGTTTCAGATCCTACCTTGTAAGTGAACTCCCCCCAAAACCAACTTCGTTCTTTGCCCACAGTCGGGTCATGAGGGTCTGATGGCTGGATTTCCGCTGTAGGTGCGGCCTAGAGCTAACCACAGTCTCAGCTGCTGTTGTTTGAGAAGGGCCTCCCTCAGCAGGTTAGGCTGGTCCACAACGCTTCTTATCCCACACTTGGAACTCTGGGTCCTCCTGCTTCAGCTTCCCAAATGCTGGGAGTACAGGCTGCCATCGCCCCTGGTGGTGAATGTTCCTTTCATGGTGAAGGAGCTGTGTCCCTCAGTCTCCACGTTGACGGGAGCCGGCGGCCCGCCCCGGCCCCCACGCTGACGGGAGCCCGCCCCGGCCTCCATGCTGA